TATAATGTATTATAACATGATCAATTCTTTTTGTTTTTATGTCATCCATAATGTTATATATAGCTAATATCTAAAGATATGTGATAATTATAAATTTATATTTTTACATGATATTATAACTAAAGAAATTCATGTTTTATAAGGTGAATTACATATTAAAATTGTAATATGTCTTATAAATTTGCTAAAATATTTTTAATAAAATAACATAAAATATAATTTTATTAAATAATTTATTAAGATTATTTTAATAAATTTATAAGACAAACTACACTTTTAAAATGTAATTCACTCCTTTTTTTTTAAATCTTGATAACATAATAAGAAATAATAATTTATCATTTTTTATCCTAACTTACCTACAAATCATGCGAATCAAATTCAAAATATCTTATTTCTAGTAAAACAAATTACAATTAAATTATTTAAATAGTTAACAAGGTAACCCACTTTGTAAGACATTTTTTTTTATAAGTAAATCACTACTAATAAAGTAAATGCTGACGGGCTCATTCGTAATCACGCACGTTGAGGATATCTGTAGAGCCCAAATATTTTTGGCAGAGAAAGAATCTGCTTCTGGACGATATATTTGCTGTGGTGTCAATTTCAGTGTTCCTGAGCTTGCCAAATTCCTCAACAAAAGATACCCTGAGTACAAAGTCCCTACAGAGTAAGTCACCATCCAGTTTATTCTGAATACGCAACTTTTAATTTTACAAAATTGTCAGCTAATCTTTAGTTTGTTTCCCGTCTACAACTGCAGTTTTGGGGATTTTCCATCCAAGGCTAAAGTGATGCTTTCCTCACAGAAGCTTATCAATGAAGGATTTAGCTTTAAGTACGGCCTAGAGGAAATCTATGACCAAACCATAGCATACTGCAAGGCAAAGGGAATGCTCAACTAAAGACTGCTTATTTTATGCTCTCATATGATTCCCTTTGGACATTTGCTTAAAAAGTGTATTATATCCTTCGTAATAATCAGTGCTGCAGAAAGGTGTTGCCTTGGCTTGCTTGAGCAGTGCCTATGTGCAGGACAGCCCTGTGCCGCCCGCCTTGACCTTGGCATCACCTAGGCTCTGTGGGAGGAGGCCTATTGCACAGAGGCGCTTTCAGCAACACTGCTAATAATTCTTAACATCTCAAAGTTATGAGTAAGCAATATCCTATGCATAAAAAGAATCAAAAAATAGTCTCTGTTTCAAATTTCAAAATCTTCGTATCCCTCAGATATCTCAATCAGGAATATCAATTCAGTTCGAAAGAAATGGTAGATCATATAGATTGATTTCTTATGAAATGAAATAAACTAAATACACATGGTTTCCCTGTTTGAAAACTAAATGGTCTCAAGTCTAATTCTGCATAATTCCATTTCAACGTTCGGTTAAAGGAGGCTCTTGAGTCCCTGACAGATCCAGTTCGAAGCAAGATCCCTCTGACTTAATGGAGAAATTTTGCCAATGTTGCCTAGAGCAATTTCTTGGCCTTTGAGTCTGAGACAGTACAAGTACAACTTCTCTCATAGAGGGCCGTTTTCCGGAGTCCGGACTCACACATTTATAAGCAAGGCTCGCAATATTATTAAGTTCATGTGGATCAAATTTTCCACTGAGTCGAGAATCTGCAATTTCTCCCCAGCCTATATTCCCTTCCAGATCAATGGCTCCCTAAAAAACAAACGAAAATGTCAATGAATAGCTCCAATGAATTAAGGTCATTCATGTGTGCATTTACTCTTTGAGACACACTCATGCAAACACTTGATACCCACACAATCTTAACAAGGTTAGGGTACGTAGTAGGTCATGAAGAAAGAGATCTTACAAGTTCCACATATTCCATGAGACCTTGTTGAGGATTCCTGCCACTGATTATTTCGAATAGCAACATCCCAAAACTATAAACATCACTTTTCTTTGTAAAGGTCCTTGTGGACATATACTCAGGATCAAGATATCCAAAGGTGCCTTTAATTTTAAATGACTGCGAATTAATTGTTTCCTGTCTTGAAAGCCCAAAGTCAGAAACCTGCTCAGTTGATGAAAACAATTATAAAGTGAAGGTGATGAAACAAAAAATAGAACTTGAAGGAAATAGACAAACTAGTGAATGGTGACAATTTCACAATATATCAGATATATGATAGAAAAACATACTCGGGCTCTCATGGATTCATCCAACAGTATATTTGAGGATTTGATGTCACGGTGCAAGATAGGAGGAAAAGCCTGTTAGAAAAAAAATGAGGTTAAATCATAAAAATTAAACTCAGTCACAAGAATCCCATCCAAGATTTGCCAAGATGCCAAGTATACCCCATAATGGAGATATTCCAATCCCCTTGCTACATCTAGAGCTATTTGAACTCTCAAATCCCAGCTCAAGGGATCATTCTTTTCATCTGCATTCCAAAGATTATTTATGACAGTTATCCATAATAAAACAAAAGTGGGGAAACTCAACTCAGTTTCTTCAGATGCATATGATGTAAAATGGATATGAACATGCAATTTAAAAGCCAAATTGTTATTTATATTCAAAGAAAAAGAATAGTAACATGTGCCCTTACTGTATAAATGGGAAGCAAGACTTCCATTGCTCATGTAAACATAAACAAGCATATGTCCTTTTTCTGTACTGTAGCCCACCAAGTTCACTAGATTTTTATGGTGTAATCTTCCTAACAACAGAACCTGCAAACAAGAATGCAAGTTATATTGTTTCCAATTTCGGACAGGTGAGAGAGTGACAGAGGATATCAGATATGAACTTGATAGTGGATACTACAGTGGAAGGTTGAAACAAAGAAGTACTAGCTGATTGAATATTGATCACACACCGAGTGGAACAATAAATTTACAAGAAAAAATGGAAAAGGAAAATAAAGTCCAGGGATATGGAAGAACTACCTGTGGAAACTGGATTCCAGTTTCCACATATAGTACTCAAGATCATAATAATAGTAAGAGAGAAAAAAAAGTGAAGAAAAAAAATAAATATATTTTCATGGCATTGATCATCGATGGAGAAGAGTCTGCTGCTTATCTGCCAATTGGCAACTGAAGTTCCTACCTCAAAATGAAGTTAATAGAAATGCATCCAAGCTGTGAATCCGTCTCAACCATCATTCTTTTATTCCTGTAAAATAAGGCCATAGTCTTCTAAAGGAAAATGATTCCAATCTATAACCCATCATTACCTCTGTTAAGAATTCCATTGCCCCTTGCTTAGAATTTGTGGCAAGAACTTTAACAGCAACTAGCCTGCCACATGCCATCTGAGCTTTGTATACTCGACCAAATGCTCCCTCGCCTATAATTGTTGTAAAATTACAAGTTGCTTTCTGTAGTTCTCTGTAGAAGAGAGGAATTCAAGACAAATAAAGACATGTCTATATGTATGAATATAGAACAAGAAGTAAAGGCATGTTAAAAATAAATGCTTTTAAGCTTTTACAGTTTTCTATTTTCTCAGTTTCGTTCAATCTGAATGGCATTCTTCTTTTCTTTTCTTCTTCTTTCCATTATTATTATTATTTTTTTTTACAGTTTAAACCCTTGAGCTTAATCCTGAAAAGCAACAACACCGTGAGAAAAATTTATCAGATGTCCTACTGCACCAAAAGCTTCAATTTCAAAAGGGTGCTACAGAACAAGCAATATAGCATTTTAAATTGCTGCATCTTGATAATAACAGCCATCTTCTGAAAAAGTTTTGTGTACATGAGGAAGTCAAAAGCTCACCTTCATCCCTTCAACAGACTATACAAAATAACATAGTCAAGACAAGAGCCTCATCAATGGTTTGGTAAATAAATTTAGTGACTATTGGCGAAAAAAGAATTAACTAGTGACAAATCCCAGCTTATCTATCATAAGAAAATATTTCAACTACAATGCTACACAACTCGATTTAAGTGTCAGCATACTTGTAAGTGTACTTTGGTATCCCACATGCTGATGAAATGCTCTTTCTTTTAAGCCCTTCCAGCCACTCAGGCAAGTTACTCCATCCAGATGTTCTGGGTGAATTGTTACCAACATTGGCAGAGTAGGAAGATCTTGTGCAGGAATTGGTTTTTGTTTCCAGGGCATCTTGTTTCTCTGTATCTGTAACACCAAAATGCTTCCTTATACACATAATGCTGAACTTAATAGAAATGGCCAAACCCAACCCACCAATCACTCCTACACAGAAGCCAACAATCAGCCCCAATTGTAACTCATTCATTTCCCTCAACTTGATCGACTAGGTCTCATTTAGCATGGAATTTGGGGAGGACCTGTGATAACACCAATCTTTAAGAAATTATAAATCAAGGCAACGCAATTTTTACAACTTTCCAATATTTAATACCATTATATTTAACAGATAATTTTTGGGTTACATAGTTCAGTTTGAACCAAGAAAAAAAAAAACTAGAGCTTTTCTGAAAGTAAAACCATAATCATGCGTAAGGCTGATATGCTAAGCACAATTTGAACAGAACAATTAAATACAAGAGGAAAGATGTTGAAATCTAGTGATTCATGTAACCCCTACGGATTGAAAAATCAAGGAATCTCACCACGACAACAAATGGAACTGTAATGAAGGAATCTAGAGATCTATCTAACTGAATTGTCACCATCCAAAATATGAATTCAGATGGAAATGCTAATTGAGTATATAGTAGTCTGCTCAAATAGTGAAACAGAAAAAAGAAGGCCAACAACCATCACATGTATATAATCTCCAACTAGTATACAAATAAATTAATGCATTTTGAGATTTGATATTTGTGGGGGCAATCAATCACATACATAAGTTCCAGCCATAAATTTGGAAGTGGAGTTTTAACATACAGATACAAATGATTTCTGCAAGTCCAAAAAGTCCATTGATTTTGATTTACACTTAAAAAAGAACGATGGGTTGCCCCGTTTTTCTACCTTTTCAGGCCAAAAATGTAACCTTTAACTAGTGGCAAAAACTGGATACACCAAGCCTCTTGATTGAATAACCAGAGACAGATGAGCCGCCCCCTACAACAACGCTACAAATTCCATGGGGTAGAAAAGTTGATTTTACCAGATAGGTTTTTCTTTATCTCCAAGAACTGGAGAGGTTTTCTACATTTTTGGAGTCACATTTAACTGAGTTTAGAAGAAGATAACAAAAAGGAGAAGTGGGAAAGACGGGCAACATGAAGGGAAAACGGATAAAGTACAGATTCTTCAAAATCTCTTTTCACAAAAAAGTAAAAAAAAAATCTTCAAAAAAGCCAAAGATTGCCTTAATTTACCAATTTCCATTTACATTTTTATTTACGATTGTCTTAATAGATTAGGAGGAATGCACTTGACTTTAAAGATTTAAAGATTTAATAGTATTAGTGATTGATATGTGCATTCCTCTCTCCTTAAGCGGATTTTGAACATACCCTTGTAAAAAATGTTAGAAAAAAAAAAAAAAAACAAACTACGAGGAATGCCGAGAAGATTGCCTGAGGATACTCTAATGCAAGATGGTATCTGAGATTTTATTATCGGGTAACGGCAGGCAGAGGCTGCTATGGGAAACGTAGGGGTGAACCATGATTTTAGGCGTGTTTGGTTAGAGGAAAACCTTTTTTGGTATGTAGGTAAAATTGATATTTTTAATTTTTATTACTTATTAGTATAAATTTTAGTAAGTAATCTCTTTTGTTTTACCCTTTTTTTTTAAGGAGAATTTTCTCCTCAACTTTGGGGAGAGAAAAAGTTATAGATAAAAATATGAATTTTATTAATTTTCTATTTTAAGAATACAAACTTTTAGAATTTTTAAATCTGGTAAAAAAACTTTCATTTTTTAAAATAAAGATACACATTTTATGTTTTTTTTTTTTTTTTGTTTAAGGATTTATTTGATGATGATGATATAGAAAACAACAATTTAAATTAAAATATGATAAATTTTGTATTCTTAAATAAAAAAATAAAAAAACTTGTATTTTTAAATAAAAAATATAAAAATTTACTATCTAATTAATCTAAAAATTTATATATTTAAATAAAAAAAAACAAAATTTATATATTTTTTGAACCGTTTCTCTAACTTTGAACCCACTTGGTAACTTTCTCCCTATTTTTTTAACATCAATTTTTTACCAAATAAGAAACAATTAACAACCCAATAAAATTTTAACAAAATTTCAATATAAAATTTAGAAATTAGTGTTAGTCAACTTAGTTTCTAAAAACTTAAAAGAAAAAAATTTCAAAATTATGTTATCTTAATAAAACACTAAAAAGGACCAAAACACTCTCATTTTTAATTAAGAAGTATGTTATTTTTTCTTTTTTTAATGAAAGTTTATTAAAGAGACTGACTAACAAACAATTATCTTTAAAATTTATTAATATTTTATACAATAATTATAAACATTTTTTATACAATCCTTTCTTAACTATTGTTTCAATAAAAACTTTTACATTAAAATTCTTTTCTAACCACACAGGCTTTAGTCTATTTTATACTGGATTTTCAATAAGGAGAAAGAAATAGTAAAGCCGGCCCAAGGTTAGATGACTAAAGGGTTAGAAAAGGTTAAATGTCAATTTTGGCCCCTCAACTTAAGGTTTTAGATAATTTTCATATTTTAATTTTTTTTACGTTTTTTAATTCTTTAATTATAAAAAATATATTTTTTTATCTTTTCATCAATTAATTTATTAAATTTATTTAATTTTATACATTTTTAATCTCTTACTTTTAATATATGCATATTTTTTATCTTTTAATTTAAAGTTAATGACTAAAAATATATAAATTTTGATAAATTTAATGGATTAATTAATAAAAAATTAAAAAAATATATTTTTTATAATTAAAAAATAAAAAATTAAAAAAATTAAAAAATTAAAATGATGTAAAATTTTAAAGTTGAGAACTAAAATTAGCATTTAACCATTAGAAAATGGGCTATGGTGCCAAATCTCAGACTTAACTGATAAGCTGAGCGCCCAAGAGCAAGAGGCAACCCCTCAGAGCTTCGAATTTCTTCACTTATTTTTCTTGGGAATTTTATATTTTTTCGTTTCCACGAATTGGGGGTTCCTCTTCTTCCTCCCTCTCTGTTGTGTTCGCTGTTTTTGCTTTGTGGGCATCAACACATACAGAGGGAGAGAAAGCGGGAGATTTTCTCAAGAGAATATGTCGAAGAAGAAAGCTTTCAGCGGCAATACCATGACCCTCAAGGACTTCCATGGCGGTTCCATCCCCACTGATCTTCCTCTACCTTCAGCTCCCGGCGGGTAATTCCCTGTTCACTTTTTTAATCCAAGTTTCAGTTTTTTATTTTGTTTTTGATGTCACAACTTCTGGGTATGATCCAGATTTTCTATTTATTTTTTCAATGGACTAAAATTCTAGATCTGGAAATTTTGATTTGTTGCCTCCGTAAGTATGTTTGTTGAAGACGTTGGATCTTCTAGTGAAAACCCTAGTTACTATTTTTTTATTATCGCTGTTTTGGGTGCAGAGTTGTTAGGCCTACGGATCGTTCTGGATATGATAGGGCAACGTCATGGGGGAACCCGATTGGACGGTCTGATCACCGGAATCGACCTAACTCATCTCCGGCGATTAGGCATTTTGATGATAGAACCCCGTTTCTAACACATACAGCTCATATTGGCCGTAATTTTGATGAGGATGAAAGGAAGCCACTGGATGGGGGTTCGGCTCCTCGTAGAATAGTTAGTGATGAGAGCTTTCGTGTTCCAGCTGGTCCTGTGGAGCTGAAGCCTGAGTCTTTGTATGCTGGGAGGGGATCCAGTGGAAATGGTTCGGCTCCAGTGTTGCCTATTGCAGGTGGAGATGTGAATTCTTACTCTGGTAGAGTAACTGGGGCTAATCAGATTGGTGTTAGCTCTCAGAATTTCGTTGGCAATGCTAGTCAGGCTGTTTCTGGGTTGTATCCAATTCCAAATGCATGGACTGCGAGGAAGGAGGTGGTGATGGGTGCTACTGAGCAAGTGCAATCTGCATGGTCTGAACAAAGTACTGCCTCAAAGTTGGCTCATGCTGGTGCACTTGAAAAGGTGTCCTCTGGCAGATGGCAGTCAAAACAGTCTGTTCATTATCAGACAGATGCTGAGGTTATTAAGTATTCTGAAGAAAATAGTTTGTTGTCCAAGGGTTATGACGATAATAGGTACAACGAGATGGATGCGGTAGGTGGGAGGGAATATTCTGATACAATGTTGGCAAGGGATGTTGATAGGAGTTTGAGCATTGTGGATTGGATGCAGGTTGGTAGAAAGGAATCACTGAACTATGAGAGAAGTCATGATCCTAGTTATTTGGAAGTTAAAGAGAGGAATTTGGCAGTTCATGGTGAAGGTGCTGAGCCAGGTCACTTGGATGGTAACTTTGGTGGCTCTGAAGTGCAGCCTTTGGTCCCATCAGAAGTATCAGATCGTCCCAAGTTGAAATTACTTCCACGAACCAAGCCATTGGATAATATAGAGTCCCCTATTATTGATCCTAAGCAGGTATTTAGTTGACAACCTGCTATTTAAATTTGCACTGCTTCTATTTTTCCCCATCATTTTGATGGTATGCTCGAATACAGGCCCAGCAACGGCTAAGTGACTCTGCTCTTAGCCATGCAGAAGCTGGTAACAATTTACATGGAAACATTAATCCTGCTAAGCCAGACTCATCTGGCAGTGAGAATGTGAACCAGACAGTTGAGCGCCCGAAGCTGAATTTGAAGCCACGATCAGAACCTGTTGAACAATTGGAGGGGAATTTTGAGAAAGAAAGGTCAGCATTGTCCGCTACCAGCTAGCATTTGCTAGTTGTATGAAAGCCTCGACATATTTTTCATAGCATGAATTTAGTTCAGACTCATGTGATTTGGTCATAGACTAGTTTTGTTGGCTCATGGTTTCTTTTGTTTACAATCCTTAGCCGGTATTTATCTTTTTGTGTTTATTTGATCATCTTTTATCTGGTGCTTGTGGTTCTACTGCCTAGATTCCACTGCTCCGTTTTAACTGAAAATCAATAATACCTCTATTCAGCAATCAGCCAGGTGAAGAATATGATCAGATGACTGTATTCTAGGCTGGGCTATTAGTCTTGCTTGTTAGTAGGAAAGAATATGGAATTGATCTTCTGCTGTTTTTCCTTTAATCTTCATTATCCTTGTTCTTGTTATATGTGAATAACGGCCTTAAATACATGTTTTTGGTGCAGAAATGCTTTGTTTGGTGGTGCTCGTCCACGTGAAATGGTGAGCATGTCTATTGCACGTTGAACTATTCATTCTTGATTATTTTTTCATTGAGTCATTGATATCCAAAATAGAAATGAAAAATTCTAATGTGTTTGTTTGCCCTTTTTCTGTTTAGTTTTTAAATATTTTTCTTATTTTAGTTAGTACATCCCTTAGCTTGTCTACTATTGAATTAATGGCTCTATGTTTAAAGCTTGACACTTTGTGACATTCTTCTCAGGTTCTGAAGGAGAGGGGAGTTGGTGATGTTTCATTCAGCAACCGTGAGCTAGGTCAGCGTAATGATAGGTAATGCCAATTTTCTCTTGTATCTCTCGTGTTGTTCTATCTTTATTTTCTTTATTTCCTCTTTATTAGGAAGGTAAACTATCCACACTGTTTAGGTAGAACCCTGGTCAATTCTCATTTTCACCTAAACCTGAGGGCGGGAATTGGGAAATGTAATGTTGCCCCTTCTTTTCTTCATTCTTTTTCAACCTTTTCTTAGGCAAAGGTGGTATTTTGGCCAATTGACATTTAAAAACTCAAACTTTTCTTCTTACTTGTTGTGTGAAGAGTCAAACATGATGATCCCAGGGCTGAGAAAGTTCCTGAGCAGGTAGCTGTGTCTCAACGTGGTGAAAAAACAGAGAAACTTCCTTATGAACAGGGGACTGGAAGGAAATTCAACAGGAATCATCAGGTGGATGTTGAGAGAACTGATATGCCAAGGAGGAACTGGCGTAATGATAACCGGAAGAATGGCCGGGAGACTGAGAGGCAGCAACAGCAGGAGAGGCCACCCTCACCCGAAACCTGGCGCAAGCCTGTTGAGGAGCCTAAACCATCCTCTTCTGATACAACTGGTCTGCGCTATGGAAAAGCAGCTTCTGCTGCGGAACTTGCCCAAGCCTTTTCAAAATCAAAATCTGAGTCAGATGATCGATATTGTGGGTCAAAGGGACTTCCTTCCCGGACCCAAATGCCTTTTTCTAGGCTAATAGGTCCAACCCCAAGACCTCAGGTAAATGGCTACTAATTTTGGGACGTAGGAATGCCTACTTTGGAGGTCAGGAGATTTGTATTACTTACAACTGGATGCAGGCATGCAATCAGCCATTGTACCTGTCCTATCACGAGCAAAACAAAACAGGGAATGCATGTGCTCTTTTTTGTCATTTTAGAATTTTCAGGAAGATATTTGGCATGCAGATGTATTCTCTGTCACCATTCCTGAATTTTTTATCTGATTCTTTTGACTGATATTTTTTTTTTTTTTAATGTATTTTCATAATTGTTTGGATTATATGTAAGTTCTAACTGAATATTTATTTAGCTCTTCATTTTGGTTTAAATAATGCATGCCCGCAAGTCAAGTTATATACTGATAAACAGCATTCAGCTAGGGTGCAGGGTGCGATAAGGAAATCAATATTG